ATCAAAGGGGCAAATTACTTCCCTTTTATCCTTCCACAAGGAAGTCCTCCATACACCAAAGAGGAATTCCATCATAATCACAGCACCATCTCCCCCCACAATTTCTGTGTGTCCAGGGTCCACGTGGGATAGGGAGTGGAAGGAGAGTACGTGCATCGAGGGGATGTATGTCACTCCCTATCCAAGTCCAACCCTAGAGATGTTACCCAGAATGAAAGTACAGGCCCAGAGGGCGGCTGCTGCTGCTGTCAGAATGAGTCCCTTTTAGAATGACTCCACTGAGTGGCACTATCAGGAAGCTAGGGGAGGAGGAACAGGACCACTGCATCCCTGGTCCTACTTCCTTGGGATTGGCACTAGCCCTTTTTCCAGAGGGGGACAAACCTCTCCTCTCAACTGTACAAGGAGGAAGATGCTCAATTAGGGATTGAGGCTCCCGCCTTTTAACATGAGAGGGAGCGACCTGACCCAATGGATGGAATATCATTTGTGCTTGGACTACCGTGCATAGCCAGTCCCTTGGCCCAACACAGCTCTGATGTGCAGTCAGCACAAATCCAGTGATGTGCTGCCAATATTGGCAAAAGGAGGTTCCCACAATTCCCGTCCTTTAACCAATGACTGAACCCTGCATACCAGAATTGCATATGTCTGCACATAGAATGGATGAGGAAATGATGAAGTTTATTAACATGTTTTCCACTTAAACAAAAACACTCTCCACTTCATCTGCATGTAACAATAACCAAGGAGTGAGACGAAATGGTTTGGCCAACACACTCATAAATGCACTTCACTGTAAATGTTTATATTATGCTCCTGAAAAGTATACTGAGTGTATTGCTAGCATAGCATAGCGCTCAGTGTGTACAACTGAAAGGGAAATGAGTTATGTTCTTCTGGGGCCATATTTGGAAGCAGGGCCGGCTCCAGCATTTCTGCCGCCCCAAGCAAAAAAAAAAAGTCGCGATCGCCGGCGGCAATTGGGAAAAAAAATAAAATAAAAGTCGCAATCGGCGGCAGCAGTTCGGCGGCAGGTCCTTCGCTCTTAGAGGGAGTGAGGGACCTGCCGCAGGTGCCGCCCCTCTCCCTTGGCCGCCCCAAGTACCTGCTTGTTAAGCTGGTGCCTGGAGCCGGCCCTGTTTGGAAGTTACTAACATTTGGTGCAATCTGGTCCATTCCAGTGGCCAACAAAAGTGTTCCAAATGTGTTTGTACGAGCCCCAGGGATCAACTCTCTCTGCTAGGCTGATTAAGCAGTATTGAGAGAAACGGTGAACTCCCATCAGAGACAGGGAAATCACTATACTCTCGTCAGTTCACTGGTGGACTCTCACCAGCTCACTCCAGCACCTCATGGCAAAAGCCTCATTTGGAACATGGAATCGTCTAGAGCAGAAGTTCTCAAACAGTGGTCTGAGAGCCTCTGTTGTTCACAGAAATATGGCTGGTCACACAGACTTGGCTCTCTTTCTCATTACTGCATTTATGCACCTCGTCAATGCATTTCTCATTGCATTAAAAGACATACCTGTATGCTGAAAACTCTCCTAATATTACTGTACAATATAAGAAATTGCTGTAATTATCACAGGCATGCTATGTGATTGCAAAGGAGAGAAGAGGTGAAAAAGTTTGAAAACCTATGAACCAGGGGAACAGCATTTCCACATTGCAGCTAAAATAAGCCTTATTTGCTGCTGTTTATTGGATAGCTGCCCCCTGGCATCACTGGAAAGACTTATTCCTTATTATATTGTTTTGGGAGTTAGTTAATTTATTTGGCCACTTACACATGAACCCAGTACTTGTCCTACAGACTTGCTGTGAAGACCACTAGGACACACTGTACTAGAGTATACAACAAAGCTATTCAGTTTACTATTCTGCCTAGGTGACTGAAGTACCAGCATTTTACAAAATGACTTGTTCAGAAACAAATCATTTATGAGTCACTGCTCTCTGCTGCAATTGTTCAGGGTTTTTTTTGTGTGCCTGGTAACTTGACTTTCCTTTGATTCCCCCTTTCTTCCCGCCCCCCCATGCCATTTAACTACAATTTTATGTTCTACGTTTACAGAGTTGTTTTATACAATATATACAAACAATATGGAAAAGAAATATAGAGGATACTTTTCAATAAGCAAAAACTAGGTACTAAATGAAAAACAGATGTTGACAACTAGCAGCTCTGCTTGGGCCCCAGTTCTCTCTCACTCCGTTTCAAAACTTGGGGGAGAGATGGAGGTGGGGCAAATGTGCCTAAGTCATTTTTGTGTGCCCTGCATGCTGGGCTGTTCAGGGCCCTGCCCAGCCCCTGGTATAAGTTAGAGCAGCTCAGAGGTTACTCTAAGTCAGTAAGCTTCTCATTGTGAGTCTCTTGTGAGCTCAAGGAAGCAGTGAGTAGCCATAGAGCTCTGCATTGCAGGCTGTCCCTGAAAGACACTAATATGGCTCTCACACCAGGGGCAGGGGCTGCAAGTTTGTATAGCACTAACACAAGCTTGGTTCTAGTTGGGGTGGTCCCCTACACAGAGGGTACTCTCAGGAAGCTGTTTGAAACCCCTTTTAAGTCTTTTATTCTGCACCCGTATGTCTTATTATCTAGTCTCTGTGATCCTATGTTTGTGTATAGCCTCAGAAACAGGATGATGCCAATCTCTACAGTCAGATGTGCTCTATCTCCCTAGCCCTGCTATTGTGTGACAACAAAAGCCCATCTACAGTTAAAGGTAACTTTTCAAAGTGGGCTTAAGAAAGAAAAATGGACAGGATATTTTGAACGAGGACAGCAAGGCCAGTGTCTGCACTGTGCTGGCTGGGGCTCAGAAACTGGTTCACGCAGTAGGGGGGAAGGGAAGGAATTCAGTATATGCTGTATAATGAGACATTCTTAATAATCAAATCCCTCATTCACACCGCTTGCTCTCTGGGATTCATTCAGCTGGCTCCAAACACGAGCCTGTTCCCTCTAAAGGGCCTTGACTCCAGCTTGCGAAGGGGGATGTGTGCTCCACATAATAAGCATGCTACTTAGTTTCTCTGAGTAAAGAAACGAGAACCAACCACAAGTAGGGGGAAAGTAAGTGCTGCCTCTCCTTACCCCTGTTACCTAAATTGGGCTGCAGCTGCTGCTGCCATCAGGTGTCAAGGAATCCAGTGGGGCAACCACACCCAAGCCTCCTGCAGTGAAGTGGTTGAAATGTCCCAAAGCTATGAGTGGAACAGCAAGGATTGATAGACACCCCTGGAACTCCCCATGCAGAAGCAGTAGCATAGTGCGTTCTCAGGGAGCTATCCCCTAGTGACAAGCAGCATAGTCCTGGTAGTGATGGAGACCTTTGGCGTGGATGCGGCTTGCTTTGTGGTATGTACAACCTGGCTCTGGGATGTGCTGAGGTTCTGCCTCCAGGGCTGGCAGCAGCCCCACCCCTTAAAAAGACAAAAACTGAGCATGGCTGGTAATCACTGTTCAAGATTTATTAGTTTGGCCATTAGTGCTCGTTTTCAAAATACCACAGGCAATTAGACTACTAGACTATGGTTACTTGTTCAAGTTTGGAATCAAGGTTGTTTGCAAGAAAACAAAAATACCCCAGACCAAGACACTTGCATTTATTTTTTGTTTTTCCTGTTCAAAGTTGTAAGGTGGCCACATTATTTGTAACTGCTAGACAAAATGGTTTCCAGGCTTTGACTTTGCATGCAAATACCAGCATGCTGCAAACATTTACAAACAAGCTATATGCCCCTGAAAATAGGAGGTTTGACAGAAGTGCCAATCTTGATTGCAGTGGCACTGGTACGACACTCAAATAAGATTCCATCAGCTTTGTTTAGCGTGGCACTGGGAGTGACTCTAAAGCTACATCCAAAAAGCATCTTCAAACTGAAGCTGCATTAAAATTATTACCATTTGTATCGTTTATACATATAATGTTTAAGTAGTGCTTAAACATACAACAACTTTATGTTGACTGCTGTAGCCATCTGTCCACATGCCATCTTTAGACCAGTAAACCCAATAGCTTTTCTCCCTGCTGCACCTGCAAACATCTAAAGGAAAGATTTAGCCCTTGGTCAGCTTTCTTGGTTACCTCTGAAGGTCTACTCACTATTTGCGCCTTAAAGTTCCATTAATAGAATCATATTGATGTGTGTATATAGGGAACAGGTTCCATAAGAATGCATTTCAGGGCAGGGGGATGTCACTAATGTATGGGATTGAAGAATAATAACGAACATACAGTAATATAAAAAGAACTAACTGCTTCTTTACCCTGTTGGCAATGGAGCAAATCCTAATTCCAGGTCAGAGCCCAAGTAACGAGGCTGTGTGCTGGGGAGTTCTGCAGGGGCCAAGGAGGGAAAGAATATTCCACTTTTAGGCCACACAGCAGCACTGGAACCACTTGGAGTGCTACTTCAGCCTCAGGAAGGAAATGGCCAATAGATCCCAGGGTGTTGAGGGTAGAATGGCTCATCAATCTGTGCAGTCATAGATTCATGCGCTCTAGCCTACTCCGCTACATGCTGGTGCTGAGGGGCAGCTGTTGTAGGGATTTAATACATCTACCTCCCTGCATGAAGCCCTGGCATTCTGTTCCACCCACGAGGTGGGACGACATCACTTTCACTGCAGTCACACTCTCAATGTCTGCTACTAAGGTGTGGAGTGGGATTTGCCACAACGTGGAGAAAGCGATTTTTTTTTTAGTAAAAGACAAATGAATGTGAGTCATTTATACTTGTGATGAGACTATGGTACCAGATTATAAATGTTCAAATTCTTAAACCACTCTTTCCCACATCTGGCCATTTAAACAACATTTTGACTGATGCGTTCTTTTTTTTTAAAAAAAGAAAGATTTGAATATTCAAGAATAAGTAACTCAGTGTTGGCAATTGAAAATAGAAATTAATAGCAATATAACCATAAATACTGTGCGCATATGATTATACATCATCACTGCAATACGCCTTACAATAAGAGACACCAGGTTCTATTGTGCAGTTTATTCAGCTTCATATTTAAAAAAATTACTAAACAGTTGACAATTCACATGCATAAACTCAAAACATTACAGCTCAGAAAAAGTATTGATTTTTTTCAGTTTTATATTAAGGCTTTTAGGACAGACAGACAGACATTCTGGATGTATGTATGTTTGTTTTCTAAAGGCCATAATTGACTGAAACTTTCCATTTGTTAACAAATCTAGAGAAAGTAAGTCCTGGTAGTATTTAGTTTCATTCCTTATCTTTTCAGTAGTGTATAGCAGATGGGGGCCAGTGTGATTTGGAAGGAAAAGTTATCTTCAGCAAAAGTTTCCTTCAACAATGCCTTGATTTGGAGTGCTGAATAAGCCACTGTAATGTTATGTCTGCAAGGATAGATAAAAAACAAATAATCTATGAAGGGACATGAGAATGCTAGCAGGTCGTTACAATAAAAAAAACAGAAGCCTCACATTTGACTTTATATCCATTTCAAAAGTGGCAGGAGTGGGGAGAGAAGAAAATTGCTGCAGTCTGCCTCAATTTGAGAAGAGATGTGCATGGCTGATTTCACTGTCATGCCCCCATTGTCATCAAGCCTTTGGGGTATGTTTCAAGGCCAAGACCTTCACAGGTAGCTTACACTCTTGGGCACTTTACAGGTGACCCATCCCCAGCTGTGATATGCTCAAGATGGGAGTTCCCACAGTTTCCCCTACTTGTTTATCAGGCTCCAGGGATGGGTGGAGGAAGGAGAGGGAGTATTGGGTTAGCGCATGGTAATGATTTCTATTGCTCTGCCGAGGACAAGGGATTACTTCTTGCCCTGCTCTTCTCCAGCTTTGTATAGGATAGAAGAGTCAAGCAGATCGATCCTTAGCTGGTGTAAATCGATATAATTCCATTGGAGTCAATGGGGCTCCACTGATTTACACCAGCTGAGGATCTGGCACTATTTTGCTAAAGGATGGAAAAACATCCGATATTTAAATAACCAATCTAGAGAAGTAGTCTGGGAAATAGTGAACTACTTAGGGCTTAGTTGGGATGTACTTGAATTCAAGGACATTCCAGTACAGAGGACTTAAAGCTTAAAAGTCTGCAACAGCCCCTAGGGGTAACATCTACTTGACAGCTGCCTACAAGACCAGTAACCATCAGAAGTTTATTAAATTAGATAACATACTGGTATCTTTCTATGCTGGAAATAACATTCTGAAAGTATCACAAGTTGTATAATATATTTAGTTTATGTTTAAAATGCATCTTAAAGGGTTCAGTTAAACTAATTTAATGATTTTCTGCAGAACTAAATGTCTTTCTAACTGACTAGTCTATTTGCTTCCTAAAATTTCCAGACTGTTTTGAAGGGTTGCTTTAATAGCAAGCTTGGGTCAAAATGTCTCCAACTATAAAGGTAAACAGATTTTCAAAGCTGCCTAAGGGAGTTGGATGCTCACTCCCCATTAAAATCTCAATCATAATGTACGTAGTGTACAGAAAGCATTGTCAAAATAACATGCTTACCTATGTTATCCTTTTCTTTACAGGAAATAGAATAGCAGCAGATTTCTCGGTCTTGAATAGCTGAAAGGTTTCTATAGAAAGTAAATTCCATTAAGTAGTTTTATTACTCCACAAAACCAGACCCAAGCATTTTCCACACAATCCACTAAATTACATGTTTGCAAATTTGTATTCAAAGGGCCAAACTCTAATCTCTGACATGCAACTTTAAAACTCCACTATTGCTTACAACAAATGCATTTTTTTAAAGTGTTAAATGTTTTAAGGGCTTCAAGTCCTTTCTGATTAAGCCACGTTTAATAGAGAAAGATAGAAAAGAGTAGGCATCCATATGTCTGAGACAATATTTCTTAGTAGTAACTAGGAAACAGTGCCTTGTCTTAAAAGCTTAACTTTCACCCTTTTATATCAGAAACCAAAAATTTTACGAGTTTACTACATTTTGTATGTAGTATTGAGAGAAGCTCAACAATAATCTTTGGGAGGTTCACACCACCATACGAAGTTTACTAGGTTAAGAACTAAGGCAGGGATCGGCAACCTTTGGCACGCGGCACGCCAGGCCGGGCCGGTTTCTTTACCTGCCACGTCCGCAGGTTTGGCTGATCGCGGCTCCCACTGGCCTCGGTTCGCCGTTCCAGGCCAATTGGGGTGGCGGAAAGCGGCGGCCAGTGGGATCCGCGATTGGCCGAACCTGCGGATGCGGCAGGTAAACAAACCGGCCCGGCCCACCAGGGTGCTTACCCTGGTGGGCCGCATGCCAAAGGTTGCCGATACCTGAACTAAGGTATCTAAGATTCCTGTATAAATGTGGATGCTGCTTGTGGGGGAAAAAAATCTGTATTTTAAATAATATTTTTAGTCTCTTTTAGGTACTTATATGGCCCCCACTATTTAGTGTCTGAGTGTCTCACAGTCTATAATATATTTATCCTCACCACACCCCTGTGAGGTGAGGATCTGCCATTATCCCCATTTTACAGATGTGGAACTAAGGCACAGAGAGGTTAAATGACTTGCCCAAGTTCACACAGGAAGTCTTTGATAGACCAGTGAATTGAATTCTGGGTTCCCGAGTCCCATCTTAGTGCCCTAACCACTGGACCATCCTTCCTCTCTGAATTCTTTTTCAAAAGGATTGCATCCCACAAATGAAAAATATGGTTTGATTCACAGCAACTTATTTAAGCAAAATTACTGCTGTATTGGCAGGGCCCTACCAAATTCAGGGTCCATTTTGGTAAATTTCACGGTCGTTGGATTTTAAAATTTGTCAGTTTCAGATGTTTACATGTGAAATTTCATAGTGTTGTAACCATGGGGATCCTGACCCAAAAGGGGCTTGCAGGATTGCCACCCTCACTTCTCTGCTGCCAGTTGGGCTCAGAAGGTAGGTTTCCGGAGGTGGGTCTGATCTCCCCCATGTTGCTGGGAGCGTCCCAGTCAGGGGCTCCTAGCTGCTAGTCCTGGTGGGGCTGGGCTCTCGGGGGGAGATCAGACCCACTTTGCTGTGGAGTTTCCTGCAGCAGGGGGAGGTACCCAGAGATGGGTCTGATCTCCCCCTGGAAGCGGCCTCTGCAGGGGAAAAGAAGTCCTGTCCCTCCCCAGCCCCGTCGGGACTAGCAGCTGGAGCCTGGTGCATGCAATGTGCCCCTCCCCCTGCCCCCTCCCCCTTCCTTCCAATAGCTAGATTTCACTGGGGAGATCTGATTTCATGGTCCGTGACACATTTTTCATGGCCATAAATTTGTTTAGATCCCTATGTATTGGACTTCTTTGTATAAAAGTAGATTTCCCTTACCCACTGTATTAATTTAAGCAAGTTTCAGTAATCAAAATCTTTGTGCTTTGGTTGCATGCCAAAAATATTGAGTTGCTTAAATTTACAGACAATAGTTTCAAATGAATGACAGTCAAGCATAAAACTGCCATTACAGTGCACCCTGGATAGCGTAAGAAAGAACATTATTCTTTACATTAGTTGATCTTCAGTGATGAGAAAAAAAGATATCTGAAACAACTTTATACAACTGAAACTATCAGAAGGAAAGATTCAATATTGGTTTCCTCAGTCATCAACCATTTCTATTTTAGATGCCAGTGCAGCTAAAAGTGGAACATCTGAAAATGTAAAATAGAATCTGTAACTGCTGGTCACTGCAGCACACTTCCAATGATTTTGCCTTTACACACCAGCTTTTCAGAATGCCACAACTATTTAGATAGGCCAGCTACTTACAATTTCTCAATTAGCTGTTTTTCATCCAGTGCACCAGGAAGGTCTCTTTTATTTCCAAGGACTAACACCTGTGAAATAATTCACATTCAAATTAATGTAAATAATTTGATGTAAAATTTGTTTTATTTTATTTACTATTTACTATCACAATTTCATTCTATTAGCTTTAACACCTAAATATTTAAGACACAATGGGCTACATTCTCAAAAGTGACTAGTGATTTTTGGGTGCCAGACTGGAACACACCTTAAAAGGGCCTGATTTTCACAAAGGATTGAGCACTCACATGCTGAAAATTACACCCCTTTAAGGTGCTTCAAGTTAGGCACACAAAAAGCAGCCAGTGCCACATTTCGCCCCCCTCCCCTCCCAATATCCGTTCCATGCAGAAGCAATCATAGGAGCCTCCATTTAGAACTAGGTATGAGAAGTAAGGGGAAAAAAATAGATGCTTGTGCTCATAGAACTACATAAAGAATACAAAGTGCACCATGTATAACTTAACACTGGATAAACATCCTGTATATTTTATGGAAGACAAAATAAGAGACTGAGGGGTTTTAAAATCATGGTCATATTACTGTTTCAATGTATGTCACAACTGCAAGTAAAAGTCCAGATTAAAATTAAACAACAAACACATTAAAATTAATTCATTGTCATCTTTGGGTTAATAACACTATCTTACTATTATGCCAAGGAATAACTACAGTAAATAAAGAATAGTTCAATACTAGTTACTTACAACAAACTAATAAGTAAAACCAACATACTACTGCAACCTGAAAATTTGGGTGGACCCACAGACTGTGATATAACAGCACACAAAAGGAAAGGAACTTCATTATGCATGGCTAAAAATCTCAGATCCATTTCAACCTCCTCATGCTCAGGGGGGAAGGGGCAACAGTATGGGGAAATCTGATGAAAAACTGAAATAGGTGCTCCATACTTTTTTGTCCCTGTCCTTATAAATCCTGGCTGCAGTTCTACTTTCTCTTCCCTATTTGACTGGTCCAATAATATGCAGTGAGGTTACAGAGGGGGGTCTCAATTCTTTCTGCTACAATAGTGGGTGGGATCAGAAATTCTGCCTGAATTCATTCTACAAATCTCAGTTTACTGCAATGATTTGGATGTCGGTCACCTGTCTACTCCTCCTCACCCAGCTCTCTTTTAGCTAGCATTTTCCTAGGTCAATGACTGGACAGAACTGAAAGTAGTTGCCCACAGAAAATATGCAGGGGCCAAGCAAAAGCCCTAAATTCCTAATACTCTTTGTCCTGGGTCAGAGAACAATCTATTTTCCTTCCCAAAACAGCATCTCTGTGGACGGGCCCCATGTCCTCTTTTGCTGATATCTGTATCCAGGCAGAAAAATGATAGAAGGCTGAGGATAACCTATTCTAAAATTGCAAATTATCTTTAATAAAACATTCGGTTCCACCTCCTCAATTACTTAATGGTGCTTCAAGCTCACATTATTTTTTGCCAAAAGTCAAGATCCTGCTTAAGGAGAGATTAATTTTTGCATTCCTTTTTCTATTTACATTTTTACTTTGCAGCCAAGGTCTACCCGGCTTGACAAAGCCCTGGCTGGGATGATTTAGTTGGGAATTGGTCCTGCTTTGAGCAGGGGGTTGGACTAGATGACCTCCTGAGGTCCCTTCCAACCCTGATATTCTATGATTCTTTGACCTGTAGAAGCAGACTATTTCATGCTTGAGTTCTGCTAACCAACCTCTACAAAGACAAGTCTCATACATCTTAAGATATTGCTACTAATACCTCTGGGTCACCAGTTCAAATCTGGCCCATACTGGTACTGACTGAAAAGTATTACCAACTGATAATGCCCTATGTGCAATTAATTTGATAGGCTCAATCCACCTCCAAATTTTTATTGACCTTTACACTGGAAGATGTACAAACACACTGTAGCAGCGATACCATGTGATAATAACCAGAGCTCTGTGAAAAACTGTCACAAATTCTCACAAAAGCAAAATTGCGTGAGAACTGGATTTTATGTTTTGTGGGAAATTCTGTGATTTTGAATTTTTTTCCATTCAGAAAAGGAATAAAGCCAAAACATTTCTAAATGTATTGGAAAACAAAATTCTCACAAAAAATAGTTCAGGTCAATCAAAGCATTTCATTCAGATTTTGACCTTTTAAAAAAATGAATATAAAAAAAACTATTTTGTTTCAAAAAGTAATTTTGAAACAAAAAATCAAAATAGTTCATTCTGAAAATGTCAAAACACTACATTTCAACATTATTGAAAAGCTTCATTTCTGTTTTTTCTAAACAAAATTCTATTGAAATGGATGTGTTTTATGCGATGTTTCAATTTTTACAAAAATGGCATTTTTCATCAAAAAAACACTTCCATGAAAAAATGTCCAACCAGTTCTAGTGTTGTGTAGCCAACCTGCATCACATTTGGGCTGGGATTTTCAAAGGCTTCAGAGAATGGGAGTTCAATGGGAGTTGGATGCCCTTAGTTTTCTTTGAAAATAGCAGCCTAAGGCTATACAGTCTAAATTCACATGTGAACAATTAAGTAAGTAAATAAATCCATTTATTCATGTCTGAATATCAGTGACACCATAGCAGAACAATTACATAAATACAAAAACTCAAAAACACTTACTGGAATTCCATGCAACTGTGGCTTGTCTATTAAGCTGTGTAGTTCATTTTTCGAAGCTTCTACTTTTTCTAAATCTGCTGCATCCACCATGTAACTAAAATGGGGAAATTGTCACTTGTACTTTTATCCAATACACATAGAAAACATCATTAAAAATATCTGAAATATGTCAAATGTACCCAACCCCTCCCCCACTGAGCAGATGATTTCATCTAGGGCCTGATTTTTGGGCCTGGCCTTTTCACTAACATCAGTGGGATTTGGATCAGGCTCTTAAATTCTACATGTGTATTTCCTTCTAGTGCTCCAATGTTATTTCCAATAGACCCTTTGAGAGAAATTTCCTCCCAACCTCCAAAATCTGGCCATCAGTTTAACTTACTGCATATGACCAAGAATAACTGGGTTAAGAAAATGATCCCACTTTTACACAAAAGATACGGTTAGTGACCAAGTAATTTTTTCTTGTTGAATTTCAGTATGATTATGGATACGATTATGTCACAGTAAAATTGGGCAAAATTCACAGAGCTGTTATGGTAAAAATGTATAAAATCAGGGTATGGTCATGGCAACAAAAATTGCGTAACAATTTAACAAAGTATTACAGTGTAACATTTACACAAAACAAACAACGTTAATGCAATAGTTTTCATTTCCTTGTCAAAGTAAACTATTTTGAAATTATATATGCATATTGTGCAATCATTTTTCAAACAAAAATAATGAAAAGCTATAAAACAAAAATAACTGATTCTTTTTAGTAAAGTCCCTTGTACAAAGTGTTGCAATTTTGGTATAAGAAGTTATTTTTTATGTGGTGTCTATTGACGCCAAGCACATTTTTAATAAGATAAGGAGCATTTGGCATCAACATTGTTGACTGGTACTGCTAAGTATCACAGGGCAACTACTGACAGAGCTGGGAATCTGGCCATCATGCTTCTTTAGAACGGGAAAACATCCTCTTTCCTCAATTCTTGAACTGCTCCACAGTAAGCCCAATACTCTAAGTGCTGCAATTTTGTCTTCAAACAATGGTATATTTTCAAATACTGTGCTTTCACAAATATCAAGGTGTTTTGCTTGATTTGGCTCAAATACACGGCATGCACAAAAAGTGGCAGCAGATTGGTGAAAGTGGGAGGCTGAGTCAGTGTCCATGTATGACTATTTTTTTTGAGCTTTCCTGTTTTTGCTGTTGGGTGTTGGCAAGATTCAGAGCAGCTCTCTGCCCACAATGCAGGGTCACACAATTTTTGACTTCATGAGCATGAACTGTGAGCTCTTCATAAGCTGTAAGCATGTTCATGATTTGGGGTGCAAACTCTTTTAGAGCCTGGAGTTCTTCAATAAATGCTGTGGATTGGCAAAGCTAATCTCTTGAAAACTTGAACTACTGCTACAACCATTCTCTTCTGTAAAAAATATGGAACATAATTCTCAGTGTGCTCAATGTGATAAAGAGATGCATTGAACCAGCTGTTCCATGTGGTTATTATGGGGATTGGTAAGATGGAAGGACTTTTAGCTATTTCCATTAGAAACATGTTGAACCGGGTTTTTCTGGCAGGGCAGGCAGTGAACGCATGTTTCAAAGCCACAACTACACTGTAATTCATTTACTTGCAACAGTATCTTCCTCCTCAGATTGCCCACAAGGTTAAACAAATGTGCCATGCATGTAAGATATACAGCATTTAAAAACATAGGTTTCAAACCTCAATCCCAAGCTTTCCCCATGCAGGTGGCATTATCAGTCACAAACTCAGTGATGGAATCAAACGGTATTGTGGATTTTTCAACAATTTCCTGTATTGCTTTGCTGACTGTTTTTAAATCAACTGCTTCCAAAACTTCACACTGTAACAAAAAAACATCCAGCTTGTGTTCACCTGCTTGTGAAGTGCCTGCATTATCACTGCTTGTGTGAATGGGATGGCAAGAATGTTAAGCACATACCTGTCTTCAGCATTGGTAGTTTCATCTGCCACAATGCTAATTCCTTCACAGTACTGCAACTTTTCCTTTAAATTCTTCAATATGTCAGTCAAACATTTTGGGGAGGTAAAACTTTCTAAGTTGATCTGCATTTGGTATAACACCTACCTTGCTCTCTAAAAACCTTCTCACAGTTTTGGATTGTCGAGGGTATTCAGGGGTACATTTGCTGCAGAGAAGTCTTCTGTTAATTTGAACACTACATTTCTCCTGTAAAGCTGCTCTTCGGTCTTGGTATTAAACAGCTTTCTGCTTTTTTAAAAATTCTATCTTCATCCATTTTTAATGCCTCTCATTTGCACTTATGAGTTGCACTTCCAGTATACTTATCACAGCCAGCCTTTCTCATAAAATCAACAGGTACATTGCATGACGTACAAAGCAACTTTCCTCCACTTTCACGGAATGTTTTAGAGTACTGCTCTGGTTGCTGCTTAGAGCTTAATTTTGCTACTTTGCTAATTTTTTTGTTCGCTGTTGTTCTCCTAGTCTAAGTTCAAATTAATCGCTGTAACTCCTTCTTTTACAAGATGCATGACTCTTACTTGTGAAATTCAATGAAGTCCACATGATGTTACATTCTTAGTTACTGTTGCTGGAAGATTGCATTCACCACCGCTCACTTTGTTTACAGTCAAACAAATGTTAGTGAGTTTATTTTGTTTCTTTTTTTACATATACTTCTAGTTCTTACAAATAAAAAAATTAAAAACGGTTTTACAGGGATGGAATGGTGCATTTTTAAGGCATTCTCACGAGGTCAAACTGAAACAAATGGCAAAATTCACGGATTCTATTCACTGTAACATAATCGTATCCACAAGTATGGTTAATTCTTCTATTTTTGGGGCCAGAGACTAAATGTTGAAACAAGCTACTCCATGTTTTAAAGCTTTTTTTGTTTTAAGGTTTAAAGCACTGTCTACCAAGTTAAATTAAACATATAACCATGATGGAAAGCAGGCAGTCGCACAAAAGAGGTAAATGATTGAGAAATATCTGTAGGTGGAGGGGACTGAAAGTGGAAGTTGGCAATATTACAAAAGATATTTAAATCATTGATTTGTAAAGAGATACATAAAGAAGCTTACACAACTGCATTGACTCCTCTGCAATAGCGCTCCCACATGCTTCGAAACCTTGGCTGTCCCCCAATGTCCCATACCTGGAGAAAAAAAAAGGCTTCCTATGTTATTCTGAATATACCGTTAGTATGAACAGAGATTTAGAAATTAAAACAGAAGTCTTAAGTTAAATTGTAATGCCTATAAAGATGAAGTCATTCAATCACATTAACAATGTTAAGTTATGTGTGGGGGTAAGGAGACCAGAAGAAAGAATGCATTAGTCCTCCAATGACATGAAGGACAGACAGTAAAAAGTTGGGTGGGGAAGAGAATGAGTGAGTGTAATGATGGACTAATCTGGCTAACTCTATTATCTCAATAGCTTTCACATTTGATCATTGAAGATGCTTTTAAAGATATGAGATCAAGATAATCAGAACAAGAAAGAAAACGGTAGTCAATTGCAAAGTTGGAGAACCACTCAGTGATGAGACATATGACTAATTAGTTCACCACATGAAAAGAAAAGATGAAATATACATACATTCTACTTAAAGAGTTTAATAGGTTGAAAATAATCACTCAGGTCCCATCCTGCAAACACTTATGCACATGCTTAACCGTAAGAATGTGAGTAGCCCCACTGACTTCAATGGAAGCAGAGGCTACTGGAGTTCTTTGAGATGTTCTTTCAGATGGTGTCACCTCTTCCTCAACTGTCAGTACTTGCTCCTCAAAGGAGTACCCTTGAGGAGGGGAGAATAGGGCATGGTCTTGGACAATGGTGATGGATCCTCTTGCATGTGTGTGCCCTGTATTACTGATCTTCAAACAAGGCAAGGATTCCAAAAGGCCCACTGAGGTGAGGCAAAGGCAAAAGGTGGAGGAACATAAGGGTGTTCCTGCCAAGGATGTTGTAGAGTAATTCGTTGACTAGTTTCTGGGAGCTCTTCCTCAAGATACATCTCAGGTGAGGGGATCTCAATGAGAATCTAGTGGTACTTCTGAGTCCAAAGAAGTAACCTTCTCTGTTTCTAGTTGGGGGAGGGAGGCCAATCGTGTTGGTACCAGCACACATGCTGGCATCAGAACGTGCAACAGCACCAGCAGAAGATTCCTTTTGGTATCTGTCAGGAGAGGGGAGTCAGAGGTCCATAGCTGTGGAGAAAAGACCTATTACAGGTCTGCTAAAGTTTGAAACCTGGGGTTTGGGGCACATGCTGTTTTAAAAAAAAAAAAAAAAAAAAAGAAAGAAGGCCTCAGACAAAGGGAGAGAGGTTGAGGGTGGGGCAGATAAGACGTGTGTGTGGGGGAGAACATCCTGACTGCAGGAAGAAATAAGGGGGAGGGGGCAAAATGCACACCGGGTGTCATGCGGAAATAAAATAAACACAATAAGAAATAATGAATAAAAGATAAAGCAGATTAGCTAAACTTGAAAGGCTAACTAATGGACACCACAGAGCTCCATCTCAGGCCACAGGCGGCTGAGAAGGAACTGGAGTGGTGGTGGGTCTGCTCTCCCCTATATGCCCTCAGATAAGGGCACGTGGATATGCAAGGTGCAGGTGTGGACCATGTGGACACTGCTACAAAAAAAATGTCTGATCAGACACACAGGCATGCACCTGAAGTGCAGAATCCACAGGGACAACTACTCAAAAAACAATTATTCATGCATTTGTAGAACTGAGATTTTAATTTCCTGCCTAAAACCCATTTATTCTGGTTTTGTTTATATAGTGGTGAACTTCACCCATGAGAATAGACCCAAATGTTCATAATCATTAGCTAAAATTGCATCTAAGATAAAGTATCACTGTAAGGATCTAAAATGTATGGTTACATATATGGAAGTTGTAGCTACGTTGAAGTAGATGTTATGTTACATGGAAGTAGATGTTATGTTACAAGACACCCATCTATTAAAATACTGATGACTTCTGAAAAATAAAACCAAAAGGAATGTATTTGTTCTCAAGCCAGGCACAGAGAAAGGTGATTATTTCTTAAACATATTTAGTTACCAAAATTATAAGATCTGAACCAGAAGTAGGAGGAATATGTATTACAACTCAGTTCGGATTTATAAAGAACATATAGAGCAGAAAAGGTTTACGCCTTTTACATTTTCTCAATAATTTTTTTCAAGTTTATTCTCTTTCCCAAATCCACCTATGTTGGAGGCTGCTAAGGACTGCAGACTCACATGGAAGAGTTAGACTTAAATAGATCCCTGGAACTAAGTCTTTTCCAACTGGCATGAACCTTACTTTTTATTCCATAGTCCATAAATCATATTCATGTATTGATCTCTGTATCATTTCCAACACTTTAGGCTCATATTTTGGATAAAAATACTTCCCAATTCACAATTAAGTAATTCCTGGATTGATATCTTACTCCCTCCGGCAACACATTAATATATCACATGAAGTAGACTGCTTTTGATCCCCAACTAAGAATGTACACTTTAAGGACAGCAAAATGACCATTTGTATGCCACCTGCGTATCAATTATGACTCTCCCTGACCTTTTTGGGGATGTTTCAGAAAGACTTAATAAAAATCAACCATTTATTTATAAAGCATAAAAAGGGATGAATACATAGTGCAATATTGCAAACCTCACACCAATGCCAATATCACACTAGGTGATGAGGACCTTGAAAAACCAGTTACCATATGGTGCACATCTGTTTGAGTGGGGAGAAAAAACAAGTTATTTTCCTGATAGATCAGAAGAAAAAGGAGGAAGGGGGAGACAGAGTGTTAAGCAAAGACTTCAAAAAACTACAGTGATTCATTACTCTTGGAAACAGAAAGGTCTACAGGATGGTGTAGCTTGGAGTAAAAATGAGAATCTGAGATACAAAGATATCAGTTCCACCCTGTCCAGTGATATAGTATACCTGATCTCTGCGATATTTCTTCAGCTATATGAGCATTAGTCTAATCAGCAGAATCATCCTGAAACACTGGAAAGACAAGTTATCTCCAACCGATTATGAATCAGTTCTCTCAATAAACCTGTTGGCAATCCATTAGAGAATGGCATTCAGGATGCAAAATGGTATGAATGTATTTGATAGGATTTGGAAACCATTTACTCTATAACTGGAGACACTGAAATTATCTCTAATAGGGAAAGAAAACAGACAAAACTGATTAACTAGAAAAATGTGTAGCGTATGAACTGCCATCTGTACCTCTTTACCTTTATTTATCCAAATAAAAATGATTAGGTAACTATTGTTCATACTAGTACCATCCTTCTTATGTTTATTCGTTGTTTTACAGAGCCCACAACTGTGGTAGGTACTCCGTAGAAAACAGAGTCCTCTGCCGCAAACAGCTCACAATCCAAATGACAGAAGTGACAGACAAATGAGGATATACCAGGAAGAGGAAAGACACGGGTTAAAGATACATGCTTAGATGGTGACTCATTTAAGACATACATTCGACTTGGTCATAGAAATGTATTCTTGTGCATGCCCTTTATGCTGAGTACATAAGTCATTTTTGCATCACAGTATTTGGTGTATAGGGCAGTGGTCCCTAATATTTTTCTGTCACGCCTCCCCTTACCTATAATGGAATCTGTCCGCGTCTCTCTCCCTCCACACCACCATAGCTGCAGTTGGGAGTGGGGCTGGAGTTGTGGTCAGGAGCTGGGGCCACGGTTGGGAGCGGGGCCGCGGTTGGAGGCTAGGGCCCAGGAGCCAAGGCTGGGGCTGGGGCCTGAGCTGCAGCTGGAGCAGACCTGGTGACAATGTGGGGCTGGGTGGCGCTCCTGCAAGGCCCCCTCCCCGAACGTTCCTCTGTGCCCCCCTAGGGGGATGTACCCCACAGTTCGGGGACCACTGATATAGGGAAAACATGTATATTGGGTATATACTGGTAAAGGAGGGAAGCTATGACTGAATAGCACAAGGTACACCTCACTATAAAAATCAAGATTCTAGATCAGGGGTTCTCAAACTTTTTTTTTCTGCACCCCCCCCCCATACCATAAAAACTCCATGGCCCACCTATGCCACAATAACTGGTTTTCTGCATATAAAAGCCAGGGCCGGTGTTAGGGGGTAGCAAGCAGGGAAATTGCCTGGGGACCATGCCACAGGGGCCCCCACAAAGCTACATTGCTCAGGTTTCAGCCCCAGGTGGTGGGGCTTCGGCTTTCTGCCCTGGGCCCCAGTGAGTCTAATGCTGGTCCTGCTCGGATGCCCCCCTGAAACCTGCTTGAGGCCCCCTAGGGGGCCCCGGACCCCTGGTTGAGAACCACTGGTCTAGGTGATATTAAATGTAGATTAGACTTTAAATTGTTACTGCAGTCTTCTTTGGTCCCTCGTGATTAGAATGGCCACATTTTATAGGCAATTTTATCCCAAGTTGACCAGCACATCTGAAGAACTGGAAAATGCCCTGCATATGCCCAAAATGAATAATACTCCTGGGGGAATTCTGCACCAAAAAATTAAAAATTCTGGGCACAATATTTTCAAATTCTGCATATTTTATTTGTCAAAATAACACAATATAATCGCACTAATTTCAATGATTTTTGGTCATTTGTTTCAAAATACCTGTCAGCAAGTATGTCTGTAACAATGCCGATATCAAAAAAGATTCAAAAAATGATTTTTGAAAAATAGATTCCTTACTAGGCATATTAATACAGAACTCTGAGTAATGATTCATTTAAACTACAATAGAGAACCATATTTCCCACATCCCCCAGAAGCAGTGCAAAGGCTGGGGAGAGTTGGGGTAACAGAAGTGCTGAGGAAGAGCCTTGCCTGAGGAAAGAATTGCTGGGAAGGAGCCTCGGTGTGAACTTGGGAGGGTTGTTGAGTATGGATGGAAAAGTATGGAACAGGTTTTTTTGGGGGCTGGGGAGGGATTGTTAGGGAGCTTCCCCCATGCAGACCCTGACTGACCCCTAGCCTCTCCCATTCAGTCAAGCACGTGCGTCTCTCCACCCCCATTCAGACACCCACTCCCCCCATCCCCATGTGGCCCTTCAGCCCCTGCCCCAGTCTGTCCTCCCCAACTAGCCCTTATGAGCCCGTCTGACCTCCCAGCAGCCCAACAC